CCGGGGCTCCCCCCGCCCCCAGCCAGGTTCCCGGGCTCCGCTCCCGCCCGCTTCATGCGCTACTCAGGTTTCGGGGCCTGGGCAGGCCCCGGCTGGGCTGGGGCGCGGCGGCGCGGGCCCCGGAGCGCGCATGGCGCAGCACTTACACTGCACGGGCCCGGGGAAGGCGGGCGCTGCCCCCGCCCCGCCGCGGTTCATGGCGGCCCCGCCGCCTCCTGCGGGCCCGGCACCGGCACCKGCACCCCGGACCCGGGCCCCGCCGCCGCCAACGCCGGGCGGATGTGCGGGAGCCGAGCATGCTCAGTGCCGGCGGAGAGGCTGYGGTGGTGCCGGCCCTCAGCGGCCCCGGGCAGGCACAGCGCTGAGGGAGCGAACCGGCGGGGTTAGAGCGGAGCGGTGCCCGGGCTCCGAGCYTTGCCCCCGGGCCCCGAACCCTGCCCGGTCCCGAACCTTCCCCCCGGGCCCTGCCTGGCCCCGAACCTTCCCCCGGGTCCCCAAGCCTTTCCCCCGGGGCCCTGTCCGGCTTCCGAACCTTTCCCCAGGGCCCTGGCCGATCCCCGAGCCTTGTCCCCGATCCCCGAGCCTTGTCCCCGATCCCCGAACCTTCCCCTCGATCCCCGAACCTTCCCCCAGGCCCTGAACCTTCCCCCGGGCCCTGAACCTTCCTCCTGGCCCCTGAACCTTCCCCCGATCCCCGAACCTTCCCCTGGGCCCCGAGCCTTGCCCCCAAGGAAAGGGAGAAAAAAATGCCCAGCTTGGCTGGGAATTTGCAGCCTGTTTTCGTTCAGGGAGAAGATGAGGTGAGGGCCAAATGAATGCTCTTGATAGGGATTCCTGAATGTTGGTMATGGCTGTCCTGGGAAGGGATTTCAATCCTGGCAGCTGCAGGGGTTAAAGCCAGAGGGAGRGAGGCACCTGCAGCAGAAGCAGCAGTAGCTGTGCAGGCGCCTGAGGGTCAAGTCCTTTGGTATCCCAAGGGTATTCTAACTGTCAAAATCCCTCTCTCTGGGCTTTGTTTTACATGGATGGTTAGAAAGAGAAAAACCAGCCACTAGGCACTGACTTCAACACAACTCAGAGCTTGAAATATTGCAAAAGTTGCCTTGTGGCTTTGGGAGAAGAGCAGCTTTGAGATGCACAGCTGTTTACAGGAGCTCCTGACATAGGGCCCTGTGAAACAGCAATGGAAGGACCTGTGAAAAAGGTGCCAGGGGAGGGTCAGGTTGGACACCAGGAGGGATTTCTCCATGGAAAGGCTGGTCAGGCACTGGAAGGGGCTGCCAGGGGAGTCCCCATCCTCAGAGGTGTCCAAGAAACACTGGATGTGGCATTCAGAGCTCTGGGCATCAAGCACAGCTTGGAGGTCTTTTCCAGTCTCACATTCTGGGATTTGGCTTTGGCATGAACACTGCAAACCCCATTGTTATCTCACAAATAACCCATAACACTCCCAGCTCAGGACTTTATCGAACCATGCTCTGGAGGAGTTCTCCTTTGCCTGGCTGAGGATTGATGTCTGAGAGTGTAACATTGCACTGAGAGCTTGAGTCATGGAGCAGAGCTCTGCTGAGATCACACTTGACACTATTTCCAGCCTCGGAGGCATAAATCAGTGGGCATGTGTAATGTTTGTCACCCTTAACCCGGCTGACATGGAAATACTGCTCTGCTCCAGGCTCCCTGCAAGTGCAGTGCAAGCAAACAGGCCCAGAAAAGACAAATGTCAATCATGAGAGACAAGGGAAGGAAATCAGAGGCATAAAAAAGTCAGAGCTCATCAGAGCCTGGGAGACAGGCGTTCCCTGGCAGTTTGGACAGCTGTGGCCTCAGTGCTCTCCTGGAGACTGGGCAAGGAGAAATGGGTGGACTTTAGCCTTTATACAGAGCTTCCAGCCATCTCCTGTCATCCCAGACCCCACAGGAGCAGCAGATCCTGCTGTGAGCTCAGAGAAAACCCGACCCAAAGCTCTGCAAGTGCTGGGAAGAGAGGTGTCTGTCCAGGCAGCCAGGAGAGTAAACCCTGAGCCTGTAAATAAAGACAACAGGGATTGTTTCCTTTGCCTTTCACAGCAGATAGAGGAGGGGAGTTTAAAAAAGGAGAAAAATACATTAMCCAGCAGTATAAATRAATAAATAGACAGGATATACCARTAAGATGCAAAAACCCCTTCAAAACCCAACCGTGTCTTAGGGAAAACTCTGAAATTTGGTTACAAGCATGTGCTCACTGAAGAGGGAGAGCGAGCTCTTGAAGGCCCTGCTGCAAGAGCATCATGAGTGAGGTTGGAATGTGGCCTAGGGCACAGACAAAAAAAACAAACAAACAGTGAATTGTAATTAAAAATTTCAGATGTGGAGACAAACAAATGATGGATTTAGAGAAAAAAACCTGAAAGATTCAAACCCCAATTTTTAGCATTTTGATGGATAATGACACAGCAACATAAATGCTCTGAGCTCAAATTAATTATGTTAAGARAATAGGTAATCTGTCTCTGTGTTGAGAACATATAATTATGATTTTTTTTTCAAATGTTTTAAAATAATGTCATTTCAATTCATAATGCAGGGTAGGGATTTTGCTGTTCAGYGTATTTGCTGTTTATACAATATTTTCAATGTCATTGCTTTCCTGTACAATAAATAAAGCTGAAACAATCAGTTAGTACCTTCAGATATTCCTTACTGCTGTAGGAACTGTAGAATAACTCAATATGAAAATATTATTCACTGCAATAGCACATTGACAACTGTGATTAAGCCTCAAACGAATGCTGGAACAAAATAGAAATGTATTTTTGTGTTGAATTSTTTAATTTTTCACTGTCACGACGCAGACCTGAATCCACCCAGGGGGAATGTCAGGCATTTATGGGGTTAAATGTKCCTCAGTGCTTTTTCCCCCATGGAAAAACTGCAGTTGGGATAGAAAAGGGATATCATTTCAGGATTGAATTCGGCTTCCTGCACCTCTTATCTCTGCATTTCTCTGTCAAATCTTTTTTTTTTTTTTTCCCTAAATGCAGATTTGTTGCTCTCATATGAGCAAAGTTTTAAAACAAACTCACATGATGATGATGATGATGATGATGAATATGTCACACCTGAAAATAAACTCGTTAATTTATGGAATACATTTCAGCACTTTTTGTAGAAATAAAAAAGTACAGTAAAACTCCACTGGGATGAACATGATAACAAATAAATGCTGCATSGAAGGTTGTACAGCTCCAGTCTCATATTTAGTCATTTTTATTATTATATTTGGGTTAAAAATGGAAAGCAACACCAGCAGAGGGACTCCCTTGATACTCTGTGGAGCTCTGCCTGCTCCCTGGCAGGGCATAGAGGTAATTTTATTCTGGAAGCTTTTGAATGCTTTACAAGTAATAGGAACCAAGTGGGGAAAGCATATTCCATATTTTAGTTCTGACATCCTCATAGAAAAGAATATATAAAAAAAAAAATTAAAGATTCAAAATACTTGCCTGTGATTCAGTACCTAAAGACTCRGTGGTGTTTTTCAGAATTCCCTTGGGATGTATAAATGTTTCGGAGCTGGAAGTACCCATCGGAGCTGGAGTCACTTATGCCACTTTATCAAACTAACGAGCCATTGAGTGATGCTATTCCCAGGTTCARCTCTGCCAGGGGGGGAAAGGAGAAAACAAAACTGAAATTTAGACAGAATGGAATTCCTGAGAGCTGGGACAASCAGGATTTATTAATCCATGCACTCCTAAGCTTACAAAAAATAATCTTCTGCCTTCGGTTTTGCTCTATAAATCTTGCCGTCCTTCACGAGATGTTTGCAGGGAGAAGGCAGAGAATTCCAGGACAAGCAGTGCCTGTCAATGTGCCACAAAACACCTTTTGTGGGGTCAGACAGGGGAGATCTCGCTGTCTGATGACAGGGGGGCTTTGCTTCTGTCCTGGCTGTTAGAGGTCAACCCTCTCCAACTTCTACTGACAGGATTCCCTCAGCYAAATGCACTGCTGGTGGATAAAAAGAGAGTTCCTTTTGTACTCTGCAGTTATTAAATAGTAATTATCAATCAGTTATTAAATACCCACAACAAATAGCACRTCCCACACCGCTGGAGCTGCAGGAAGGAAAGTCCTGCTCCCAGTTTGGTGGGGTTATTCAAGTGAGCAGGAGTTGAGTCTATTTATGCCACTGTAGGTGACATTTGGTATTGTTAGAATGATGAGCAAAGTGTAGSAAACACTTTCTTTGTGTGAAAATGTTAATTAGCTTGGCCACGGCACAGATAAATAACGTGACTGCACATGTTTTGTCAGAACTGGTGTGCAAGGAACTCTGCATTTGAGCAGAGTTCAATAGTGTGAGCACACTGCTTTTGTACAGAGCACCCCAGGATATTCCAACTAAAAAATCCCATTGCTGATCTCGAGTTAGCAGGCTTTTTGCTTGGTCAGTCCTGGTATAAAATAACAATAATAAAGGATTTTGGTTTGGTATCACAACTTAATGCTACTATGCGTGAACTCTGTGTCACCCACTGAAAAAAAATACCAAAAATAAATATATAAAAATTATAATCCTTCYGAAAAAAAGGCTTTTGCTTTGTGTTCGTGCCACAAGATATTGGTACTTGACTTTTTCAGGCACTGAAAAGATCATGAAAAGGGTAACAAAGATGAGAGGRTACCCTATTAGAATAATATCTGCAYGCAGGAATGACAGCCAGGGAAATACTATCTGAACCTCAACTGCTGCTCATTGTCATTTTACAATTAAATCTTTATCAGGCTAATATTCCCYGTGGTCAGATGTGTTTGCTTTCCAGGAATCCTGTAAAAATTCGTTCATCTGTGAATTTCAGGAAATGTGGCAGAGTATTCATTGAGAGCAGATTTTATATGTGCATTGAAAACTTCGCAATCAAATCTATTCAGACAGGAGTCAGAAACAGAAGAGCATCTGCCATTCTGAAGAAGGCAAAATATCAAATACGTAAAAGATRTTTTCTCATAAAGCACTACAAAATGAAATGTATCTACACCAGCTATTTTTCTATAGTGGAAAAACAAATCTTTATATGATAATGTTGGAAATAGATAAAAATAAAGCAGTTGTTGGATAAAAAAAAAAAAAAAAAAGAACCCCGATTTGCTGGGTGAAAGATCTTACAATAATGGCAAAACCAAGATGAAAATGAACCTTTCATAATTAACATCTTTTAAAGCAAATTAACTCCCTTCTTTTGGTAACTTTTCATGATTTAATATAAAACACAGAGAAATAAGAACAAT